CCTGTTTCCCTATGAAAAATTTCTGTATCCGCCACTGCCTTCCACACTGACTTCAGCTACCGACGACGATTTATATGCTGCCGGAGAAAATCTAGCAAAAAAAAAATGACTCCCACATAATTCAATATTAAGAAATTAGAGTGGGTCCCGTTACATTCTTTGCACCAGGATCCATGCCAACCGCGCAACGCCACTGCTTTTGCCTCCCATCGCGAAAAAATAGGTGGGGTTGCACTCCGAACAAAGGAAGACTTGTCGTCATTATTCTTCTAATTTTCCTAAATGCAATGCCGCTACTTACATCAGTAATGGCACCTCTTGACATCATTCAACTCCATCTGACTGCAATTCACGCATCCAGTGATGCATGTCATTATAAGCAAGAATGATGCGTGTGTTGACAAATTACACGTTCGGAGAGGGAGATGCCGGCAACGGTTTTTTTTTGGGACTGGAATTGCGTGATTGTAATCAAAGTATAATTACTACTGTGACAATTGCATCTCATTATGAAATACTGCTAAATGAATCGAAACTCACAATTTAAAGCAAACCTACACCGCCGACAAGTGGTATGTCACTGCAGTATGACAGCGAAAGGCTACATTCTGTGTGTGCAAGACGTGCCACCATTAGGGATTGGAGCAGGAGATGGTCTATCCCTTCGCCATTTTGTCCGAGCTTGGCGCATTGCGACTTCCATCTGCTTTGACCGTCGAAGAGAGCCCTTCGAGGACGACATTCAGCAGTGACGAGGCGATAGGTGCAACAAGCAGGGCGTGCTATTTCGGCTGGCCATTTTTAAATAATTATTTGCAACTGGCATAGAAAAGTTTGCGCACCATTGAATAAAGTATATTACAATAATGAGAGATTATTTAATAAAATGATCATGTTCAAATGAATTCCAATGTATCTTACACATGCCCGATAGACACGTTTGTCCATTTACTGTTGCATACTTCCTTGTATTATAAACCCACTAATCTTCTCCAAGAAAGGCTTTTCGAAATTTCTAGAGTTTTATCATTTGTTGCAAAAGCGGATATCTTTCTGAAGAGTTAATAAGAATTTAGTCGTGTCTGGTGAATTTTACATTTTAAAAATTTCTGCCACGAGTCGATGCTTCTGTGTTTGATTCGACAAGGTGAGACTTCCATACGTAATGCAAGGTGAACATGTGCCGCAGCCGGTTCCATGTCCTCATGAGGGAGAGGAAATGGAGTTTTTGGCAACACTGGCGCATGTCGGAGGCGAAGGGGCAAGGCTGGGCAAGGCCGCCATGCAGTTCCTACTAGTTATCGATCCACGAGACCAGAGAGGTCTTGCCTTTCCCTTCCTGCCTGAGTCCCAGACAGCTTTCTCTCTCTCTCTCTCTCTCTCTCTTTCTCGTTTTTTTTTCTGCTTCCATTCATCCCGACTCTTGCTTTCTCACACCCCTCGTCTCGGCTGCCTAGAATAACAGTCCAGAATCCATTCCGCATGGGAGAAAAAAAGAGCAACCGACACAACCATCACAATACGATGGTATCTTGTTATATGCTTGACATTTCATCCTCATCCCATCCTTGATGTGGCTATGATCCAGACCCACCTCAGCAAGGAAAAAAAAAGGAATCAAAAGAAATTTTCAGCGACCGCTGGTGAGGAAAGCTCATTAAAGATGTTGGACAGTTCGACACGTGCTCATCAAGTGCGTTGTTGGGCAGCGATGCGTTCCAAAAATATCAAGCACAGGTCACATGAATGAAGTGTCACAAGTAGCCCTGCCAATTTTTTTTTTCAATCCTATTCCTCTTTTTGGCACATGCCAAAGAGCCGCCCGGCGTAATGTGATGTGAGGCGCGTAAGTCCTGGAAATAACCCGGGCTCTTGGCCAAAGTCTTCCCGACCGCACCTCTATGTTTATCAACAACAAAGGACGTTATGTAGCATTCTCTAGTGATTGTGGAAATTTATTTTTGGATTTTGCAGCAACTACGTATTGGGATTAAGTGAGGGGATTGAATCGAGTGGGGAGCCCAGATGGCAATTGGTACTTTGTCTTTTACTGGCATGGTCCATCGTCTTCCTCTGCCTCAGCAAGGGGGTTCAAACCTCCGGAAAGGTACGTGTTTCCCTTCAAAGCCTCGATGTAAAAGAACTTAATCCAGGATTTTAGAATATTGCTTTGAGTTTCGCTGTCATTGCTGACAGGTACTCCCGAGTAAGCAGCACTACTCACGTCGGTTTATAAATGCAGGCATAAAAAGGAGTTACATGCCTTTTATCTGTTTGCCATTTCCAAGTAAAAATTGAAGTAAACATTTCATACTCGCATCAGGTCTAGTACAACTTTTTATGTTCCAATAAGATGTACTTCGCCAAAGGCATTCGCATGGCCAGGAAGCAGTTTTTGCTTTCTGAAAACAGCAAGAAGTTTCATGTTCCCAGTCACGCTACCGATTCAGGGCGAGCAAAAACGAGATGGAAAACAGCATTAGGCCTGCACGAACGTTAAAAAAAGAGTATGATTATGAATTGTACCTAATTCGAGAAGCGTTTCACAGCGTAAACCTAGTATTAGAATTGTTGCTCATTTAAGAGAGGGTTTGCAAGTTTCCCCCACGGTGTCTCACATCTATCTTCGCCCCATAAACTTTCCCCTGCCAAGGGGAAAAGCTTCTCATTTTCGCTGTCAAAGATGACCGCGAAGACTTAAAGAAGACCTAAAGAGGCAAGGAAAGTTGACCAAATGAGAGAAGCACCGTGTGTCACTCGATAGACCTAACGACCTGAGCCCAGGTCATCCTGAGCCCAGGTCATCCTGAGCCCAGGTCATCCTGAGCCCAGGTCATCCTGAGCCCAGGCATCCCAGCCCAGGCTGGGATGCCTGGGCTGGGAGAAGGCACGTGCCTGGCCACGCTATCCATTGCCAAGAGGAGGGGAATCTCAAAATGACGTTTCAAAATACGAAGCCTTGTGCTGTTTTCATAAAACATTACTTCTTCCTGAACGCGTGACTGATTTTGGAGAAATTTTAATGGAACAGAAAGAGTTTTACTACACCTGACGCAATAATGAAATGTTCATTTTAATTACCTGCAAATAGAAAGTGATTAATAACGGTGAAACTTCTTTTTGGATCACCCTGTGTATACGCAAATGCCGGGAGTAAAAAGAGCCTCTTGTCTGTCGTTCAACTTTTTCCCCCGCGCGATTTCCTTAGAAAGGAGGTCTTTCCCAATATATGATGATAGTAGGCGGAGTTGCCAGGTTGGCATGCCTCCATGACGTGAACGGCATCCCCACCCTGCTCACGCTTCCGTATCCCAGCACAAATCACACGAGCCAGACCATTTCTTGGCTTCATTTTTGCTTCCTCCTTTGAATTCCAGCCGATGCCTCTGACTGTTTCTCAATGAGTTTCGATTTCGGTAACGTTGCGGGAAGCTCTAAAACCGACCCAACCGAAAGCCAATAATAATGGCGAAATCGCATATCTATTCTAAATTTTGCAGGTGGTGTATTTCACGGCCCTCTTCCCTTACGTAGTCCTCGTGATTCTCTTCTTTCGGGGAGTCACCTTACCTGGAGCTGGAACTGGAATCATCTACTATCTAACACCCAGTTGGGACCGACTGACCAGTGCAGAGGTATTTTCCCCATCAAGTCCTCCTACAATTTCCTTTCTGTTTTTTTTTTTTATTTCCCTTCCTTCCTTTCCCCATATAAGCTAGCCATTCATTCATTATTCATGCACGGCATCTCCCAGTTATCGATTTATTCCATCCACTATCCACCCGATCCTCTACCACCTCATTTTCTTGCGAAACAGCGCGTTCCCTATATTGAGGCATTTGTTGAATGGGAATACAGGTATGGGGAGACGCAGCGGTTCAGATCTTCTTCGCCCTGAGTCCTGCCTGGGGCGGTCTTATCACGTTAGCATCTTACAACAAATTCAACAACAATTGCTTGAAGTGAGACCTGGGATCTTGTCCCTTCCACAATCCATTGAGTCCATTAAGAAGTTAGGCTGTATGACTCGTACGTTATGATTTATGATTCACTCAGTAATAAGTTATGCTTTGAATAGTTAATAAATCATCACATGGGTGTGACAAGGAGAATTTAGTTCATCATTCCCTCATCTTAGCCCTCGCCCTCATCTCTTCTCAATAACGAGAGTCAATAATTATTTCCAGGGATGCAGTGATCGTTGCGATCTCGAACGTGATGACGTCGTTCTTTGCCGGCTTCGTCGTGTTCGCCGTCATCGGTTACCTGGCTTACGAATTGGACAAAGAGATTAAACACGTGGTCGACGATGGAGCTGGACTAGCCTTCGTCGTCTATCCGCAGGTACGAAGCTCAATGGATGTATGGACTGCATTTTTCATTCTCCATGGAGAAAAGTGCCCTTTAGGAGCCGTTAATGTCTCCGCTTGCATGCCACGACTCCATCGATCTACTGTGAATGATAGCTGCCATAATCTAAACAAAGACATCGCTGTCTATGAATGATTCTCGTATTTTCGGGTTTCTCTTCAAGCGCTTCTTTAAATGAGAGGAATGACGATATAATAATTATATTAAAAAATCGAATGCTTTTGAACACGACGAGCATTGGAGCGAAGGGCGGTTCGTCATCATAGGATGTCATTATTCTCCCTTTGCACCATGAAGCTCAAGGCATGAACGCAAGAACGACCAGGAAGGATTCGTTTGAATGGAATATAAAGAAGCTTGCAACGCAATATCATAGCCTTCTTTAATACGTCCTTGGAGTACCGAATGTATCTCTCTTCGACAAAGAACCGAGTCAGGAGTTCAGAGATGACTTGTGGATTTCAAAAAATATATTTTCGAGTCAAGAGGTGAAAGTTGTAATTTTTTCTTTTTCTTTATATATTCAGGTGGTGACTCGTTTGCCCCTGGCCCCACTCTGGGCTTTTCTCTTTTTCTTCATGCTCCTCACGTTGGGTCTGGATTCTCAGGTGAGCAGAGCATTTAGCTTTCTTGTTTCGACTCCTCACCCCATTACGAGTCGTTACCCATGTCACTTCTTTACCCAACCCTTGCTGCAGTTTGCACTGATGGAGACGGTGACGACGGCGCTGATGGATTTCTTTCCCATGCTTCGCATTCACAAGGTCTTAGTCGTGGCAGCAGTCAGCTTTGCCGGATTTCTCGGAGGAATCATCTTCTGTACTAACGTACGTTTTCCCTCGTTCGCCATTCACTCCAAAGATGTATCCGTCAACGCGTCACAGATCGACACATTTCTAGCCGGCATCAAATGTATCACTTTCAGTTGCGGTTATCTTGTAGCAGGCAGTCGATGAATGGGAGAAGGCTGTTGCGGTCGATTTCGTGCAAAGTTTCCTAGAAGAAAAACATGAAAAATGTATCATTACAGGGTGGAGTATATTGGCTTCAACTGATGGATCATTATGCAGCCAACTGGTCGGTTCTCCTCATTGCCACGGCTGAATGCGTCCTCATGGGTTGGTGGTATGGAGCTGAAAATTTCCTTCGAGACATCCAGGAAATGATGGGAAAGATGTCTCCCCGTTGGGTCAAGTTCTGGGCCATCGTCTGGAAATACATCACTCCGGTGGTTCTTATGGTAAACGAGTTATCATCATCAGGATCACCATCATCATGCCATCTCCCATCATCGTTTACCAGATTCTGAGGCATTGAAACTATGTATCAATAATTCTGCCATAGTTCGTCTTGGTGTTTAATTGGATCCAATATGAGCCGGCATCGTTTGGGGAGAACTACGTCTTTCCTTTATGGGCAAATGTCATCGGGTGGTGCACAGCGCTCACCCCCATGGCAGCGATTTTGCTCATCGCCATTCACAAATTCTGCACGGCGGAGGGCACCTTCCTCCACGTGAGTTCATCCTCCTCTTTTGACTGAGCCATTCCTTCTGGATGCGATGATTTTATCAATTTGTTACAGCGGTTATGGACGTTGATGTTACCGACATCGGACTGGGGACCAGAGCACAGTCGGAAGGAGGCATTGAGTCGGCCGGCTTCCACCATCATGAATGGACACCCCTCTTCAGGTGGGATGTTCGCTGGACTCAATCATGGACTGCCTTCCATCCCCGAAATCCAGACCTCACATGAAGATGATCAACTCTCCTATAGCGAACAGGCGGAAAAGCCTGAAGTGGACGGCGAAAAGGTGGCTCACTTCATCTTCGAATCCAGCATGTGATACTCTTCCTCCTCGGACTACATCCAATTGTTTGGATTCTGAGTCATTTGCTGTTTTTCCCCTGAAATTTTTTTGGCATAGTATGCGTAGGTAGAGAGAGAATCCCCTCGATTCAGGTTGTGCCAACTTTTATTCTTTTTTTATGCGCATAGACTTCTAATCTGATTTTGTATCCGTCTCATCGTGTGCAGTATTATGGTGGGGATTAGAAGGATTTAGATTCAGGTTCTCGTCGCTTTTCATCTATCATGTTATCATTAACTTATGTTCCATATTTGTCTCAGTGATGATTGATGAGTGATGCAGTATTGGTGATACTTAGAGTGGACTCCACATAATAGTTTTTCTCGTCATTGTTATTATCTGAGTCCATTTCATGTCCCTCCTTCAATATTCCGCGTCCGCCCCCCTCCCCCAAAATAATTTTTTCTTATGAAATCCTCTCTGAAATCCTTATGAAATCACTGCGTGCGGTGTTGTAGATGAGCATATCACGCCAACCACAGCATTATGCCAATGCTCAATGAGAGATCAGTGGGGAATCCGGTTTTCAGCAGTGGATATGAGTAAAACGCAATTCGAAGTCTATCGTGTCAAAATGCTCACTTGCTTAATCGTTCGCAATAGCACTGTATACATATATTAGCTTAGCCATCTTAAGTTTCAATGCCATTGCTATTAATCCTTTGCCACGGCTCCATCTATCCCTTTGTTTGATCTCGGTGCCTCATTGTGAGAGAACATTTCTCCTGTTCTGACATGTAATGTTAAATCGACATAGAGATTTGAAAGATCTCAGGAAACTTCCTTAGTCGCAGTGAATGGAAATGTTAATATTATAGTTTGTGCGTATGAGGTGAGATTCACAGTGTTCCCAAGATCGTTGAATCAGATGTGATGTTCTTTGGCCAATTAGCATGAGTTCTTTTGCGACCCGAGTGAAAGAGTTCGAGGGAGAAGGATCATTTGCTAATAGCTATTTTTATAGAACCAGTGTCGAGATGTGTTCATGTTATTGATTCTCTTTTTTTTTTTTGGGGGGGGGGGGGGTCAATCCCTTTTTTTGTTTTTTTGTGAAGTTGTTCGACCTGCAATGAATATTCAGCCATCAATTTTTTTTAGCGCTGTAGCCGTCCCTGTCGGCCTCAACATCTTAGAATCATACGCTCAAAACCTGAGTGTTTCTGACCAGAGTTTTAAAATGCAGCTTGTAGTGAGGTAAAACAGCTACCCTATAATACTGTAAATTCCGTACTTGATCCCATGGACTTTTCGAGCAGTGCAAAAGTCTTGAAACGACGACTTTTCTGAAATAAATAGGTCGGAATCACAAGAAAAACGATCACATGGTCCTTCCTTGTCTAGAGCATCTCTTAATTCAATCATGAACCGCTACCAAATATACAGTAGTCATCAGGTACGATGAGGGCTTTGAATGTTAAACACCAGAACCCGGAATTGGCTAAAGTCGATGAACTGTCCCCGGATTTTTTAAATATAAATTTAATGAGGAGATGGGTGATGCAGTGACATCCTTGTTTAGTGTTAGCCAGTAAACGGATTGGTTTTGGTTACGAAGTACAAGTTATTCGTTAAAAGGGCTAAATGCATTTCACAGTAATTTCAGCGATAACGAATTGTTTTTCAGGGGCCACTAACCGAACCAGTAACTACAAGTACATCCTTTTCGATGGAGAAGGTAACGTATAGTGATGTTACTATACGTTAATTACAATTTCTTCTGAAAGTGGCCGGCGTTTTATGGTTGCATTCATCCTTGTCATGATTGACATCCCTTGCAAATCTGAAAATGCTCTTCTTCCAATACAAGGTCTCACTGCCAGCTAGTTCTGCTTCGGAGCGGAGGACTTAGTGTCGGAGCACAACCGAAAGAGAATAGCAGGAATTCTGATTCCAACTTTGACATGCAGTTCCTCTTAAGGCGTAATGCATGGCAAGGGTGGATGTAATGTCAATGTCATTCACTGGAAGACTGTTGGAATAAAGACCAGTTATGTCACCAGAACTTGGGCAAAGTACTTTATAACTAGTTACTCTTTGTGAGGACTAATTCTACTTGTAACTAATTACTTTTGCAATGGAATTTTTGGGTCACCCGATATTGATAAGAACCAGACACAATTCATATATTCACTACTAACACCACTATTCACTATCGCTTCACTACCTCGTGAGATCCGAGCCTGATCCCCCATATGAAAACATCCTATTGGAATCGTATGCGATTTATGAAGCATCAACATCTTTTTGGATCCTACCTGTATAGGAATTCTCTAGGAAATATATTCTGTTGAATTCATATAAGACTTAGAAATCCTATAGGAGATCTACATGATTTTAAGTAAGAAACCTAGACTATAGATTTTAAAAGATTTTTATTTTTCAAAATCGTAATAGGATATTTTTTAAATTCATCGTATTATCAAGGGTCCTATAAGTTGCCTGTATGTTGCCTGTACCTACTATAGGACCATAGTAGATTAGGATTGACCTCTCCAAGCTTCCTCATATTGACACCGCACACGGAACGTACAACCTCCAAGGGCATTGTACCGTAGTTAGTATTCCGATAATCAATAAGGATGGAGATGCAGATCCCTTTTTCTTCATCCCAAAAGACTGGGAATAATGAATTTCAAGGGGTCACTGCTCGTGTCAGTAAGAACAGCGAAGTCTTTTAGCGTTGTGCATGAGTGCGTGAGGAAATTGAGGAAGTGATTGAGAACTTCAGAGGTACTCTGCACGGAAATGAATTGGGTATCGTAGCTCCTTAGACGGTAACTGGTGGCGGAACGAGGTTCCTATTGCAACGCGGATGACAGACTGGATTCTGTCCTCCGCCCCTCTTCTCTTGGTTTCGCAGATGGGGTTTTTTCATCGAGGAAGGCCACGAAAGAGAATAACAGGTATTACTGTATTGTAATCCTCCTCCTCGAAAGCTTCAAGGAAGAGAACTGCGGCCCTCCATCGCATCCCTACGCCCTCGGAAGAAGTTAACTGGGTCAATAACCTGGGTGCGAGGGAGGTCGTGAAGCAAAGGATCCTGAAAATAAGGAAGCCAATATCACCTACCACGGTTTTCTTCTTGCGTCATTTCATGAAGCATCATTAATTGCTACAACGTAGACCAGAAGTCAAACGACGAACGACCTTGATGTTCTCTTTTTAGTCTTCCTTTGTCCCGCTTTTAGAACAAGTAATTTGAGAAACATTCGCACCGCCACAATTTGACGTGAATGACGTGAATTGATGGAATGAGGGGGAGACGGGAGTGCATTTTTCTGAAGACACTTCATTCCATACTATGTCGGAAATTATTAAGTTGGTTTTAATCTCAAGTCATGGTCCACGTTTGAGACACAATCGCCGTCTCACACCGATAGCATCGTCTCAATAGTATTTATCAAACCGGTCTCATTCTCGACAGATAACCTCCATAAAGTCATTCTTGAAATCGCATGTATCACATTGACACGTTACATCCATGTCAATGATGTAACGTGCCCATGCATATAACTCACAAATCACCAAAAAAAGCAGAAAGAGAAATTCTGGAGTTGTGTTCAATAATTGTCAGAAGCATAATTCCCCCTCCCAAATTGGTCCATCCACAGCATCTCGTTGACGTTTCGCACTTCCCTCTAAAATGATGCATCTTGATTGCTTCATGAGGTCATCCAATAAAAACATGCTCTCTTGCAATGCATTCTGGAGACATTGTATTCGGATGAAAAAAAAAGAGAATATTTTTCAATATAAAGGTACGAGCTTCACTATCCAAAAATTGAAAACGCCTACTATCAAGGTAAGGCTATTGTTGTGGCTGGCGGATAGTTTTACTTAACGTGGACGACGTCTCCAGGTCCGAAATAGCCTCGCGCAATAGCAAAATGGAAGTCCAGCGAGGGGATCGCGGCCAATGGAATATTATGATTGCGGTACCCTACTGATATAAATAAAAATAAAAAACATTATTTGCTCCAACTATACAAAAGGCGTCACGTAGTGAGTTCCTGAATAAGGTTTTGGTAGCGATCCAACACAGCACGAACAGAACGAGAAAAAAAAATCACAGCTTCTTTCTTGGGTGCAATTACAGGTGGAAGTTAAAACAAAAAATTGTGTACTCTAATTCCAAAGTAAAGACACTCAAGAATCATGTACCCGGCTCTGCTCTTTTACTCTCTTCTTTCCTTCGTTCGTCCCGTAGCAAGTGATTTTGAATCCTTTTTCTTTCTTCTTCCTCTTCAGCACACCTTCCCTCTGTCTCTTTCCTCTCCTCTTCCTTCTTTTGTTCCTCCTCTTCATTTCGTATGATGTAAATTGCCTGATGTGATGTCAATGCGAACAGTGTTTAGATTTTCTTAATTTCTCAAGGGTTTTTGAGCTCCTTATTATTTCCCTCGGCACATGCATATTTTTTCCCATAATAGAGAAATATTAATACTGAAGAATCAAACTTAGATCCGGATTCTTCAGAGAATTTTCGGTGGCAAGGTCGGGCTGGTTCTCCTCATATTCAATCGGAATATATGAGAGCTATTCCGATGAAGGAACTGGAATTTTCATGCCTTCATCCGTCACAATGTATTGCATTAAGCCTGAAGTCTCTCCCTGGCCCATCCGCTCTTCATTCATTGGCTCCTCTAGAAGTTGATCGATAGGGTAGAATTCTGAAAGTCCACGCTTGGTTCAGAGGAAAAACGAGATGAAAGGCTCAATCCTCTTTCCCTGTGATTCCATTTTGTGAGATCTACGATGAAAAAGAATCACCGTCATACCCTCCATGGAGGATGAGGAAGATTGGGACTCACTGGGATTAGTGGTTGTGAGTCTGGGGATAAAAAGACTTGCGCTTGTGTCGGGCGTTTTTGGACGAGAGGATTCTCTCCGGATGCTCTTGCAGACTGAGTCCGGTCTCACGTACGCAATTCTGTTCACCTGGTGCTGCAGAACTCTCAATGCTCATCGCGAATGGAGTTAAGCGGGGTGATCCAAAAAGTTTCTGCCCCGAGATATAAGAGAAAGTGATAGACTGATGAAACAACATTTATTTCTCAGCATCACCTCCCTTGACATCAATACGTGTCCCGTTGATGGAATAGGGCTTCAATTGTATGTGGGAAATTTTTCATTTTCATAGTCAATTAAAAATGCTTGGACAGCTTCATTGAATTGACATCATTGTCAGTTTCACCTTCGCGGACGCTTCACAGGAAGTTTTGCTATAAATGTATAGCATTGAAGGTGAATATACATTCCTCAAATGAATGCTTTAATTAATCAGGAATATTGCATAACTGCTTCGTATTCAACTTTTGTCAATTTGAAATCAAATAATTTTTGGCCGGAACGTTTCTCATACACGAATTATTAATGAAAACATAAATACACCTTAAACCAGGGGTGCACAACTCAAAAGACTGTGAGGGCCATTTGCGATTTTTACTCACATAACGCGGGTCGCAGTCTGGCTGACCATAGCTGTAGCCAAAGGCCCGCGGGCCGTATGCTGTGCACTCCTGCCTTAAACCAATTGTTGACCATTGAAATCACTAAAAAAAAAGATGAAAGAATGTGGGAACCAACCAACCAAGCCTTTTTAATTCATTCATACTACCTCAGGACAGAAACTTTTGGATCACCCCTCGTACCTCACCTTGAGCCACTGTCACAATCCATCTTCATTGACGAGTAAAGAAGTCGATGTCTCTTCTTGATGGGTTCTTCCTGGAATAGAAGTTCCAGTACGGTTCTCGAGTGTCTGAAGATCTATCTTCCGGCTTCCACCTCGACCAATACAAGTCTCTGATTGGATCGTCCATGCGATCCTCTGACATAGAAAGTAGAGAGGAAGTCTGAGTTCCCACTGTTTCTGTTGCTATGTGACTCGTTAGCTCGCTGGATCTGGTGAACCTTTGAGGGCATCAGCTCGGATCGATTAACAGCATCTGAGTTGAAGGGACCAAGTCCAGCCTGGTGAAAGCTGTTCAGATGACTTCCTTGTACTTGACTCTCCCATTATAG